TTCATTACATGATAAACCCCAAAATCCAGAGTTGCAAGTGCTACAGTGTCCGTTTGATCTAATACAGCCTGAAGAGGAACAGTTGTACATGCAGGTTTTGTTACAATTATCTCCCCAATAACCGCTTTTGCAAGTACTGCAATATCCATCATTTTTTCTACACGTTAGAATTAAACAACCTTGACCGCAAGTTTTCTGACAAAATTCGCCCCAAAATCCATTTTTGCAACTGCTGCACTCCCCATCGTTCCTATTACACATTAAGTTCCAACAACCATGGCTACATGTTTCATTACATGATAAACCCCAGAGTCCGGAGCTGCAAGTACTACATTGTCCGTTTGATCTACTACAGCTTGACGAGGAACAGTTGTACATGCAGGTTTTGTTACAATTATCTCCCCAATAACCGCTTTTGCAAGTACTGCAATACCCATCATTTTCTCTGCACGTTGAAATTGAACAACCTTGACCGCAAGTATTCTGACAAAATTCGCCCCAAAATCCATTTTGACATGATGTACATCGTCCATCAGTTTTACTGCACTTATCTGAACTACACTTTCCACATGTTTTCTGACAGTTTTCTCCCCAAAAACCCGATTTACACGTCTGACATTCTCCTGATGTGATACTACAAATATCACAATTCGACGCAGAACATCTTTTGTCACAAGAAATATTCCAGTATCCGTTTTTACATGTCTCACACCCACCTGCTAATTTGTCACATATTTTGCAGTTTGGAGCGCATGTGAAGTTACAGAATTCCCCCCACCTTCCAACATGACATATTGTGCATGCGCCAGTCGTTTTATGACAGTTCTTGCAATTTATATTACACGAATTATTGCACGTTGTTCCATACCAACCATCAGAACAAGAGTAACAACTTCCGTCATATTTGCGGCAATAGGAAGACTTACAGTTTTCTGGACAATTTGTATTACAGTAGTCACCCCAATAGCCGGTTCTACAAGAACCACATACTCCAGTTGCCTCATCACACCAATTGCAATTTACCTCACACACTTCCTTACAGTCAGTTCCCCAGTAACCATTTAGACATGCGCTGTCAGCATATTTAACTAAACGAAATCAAATATTCAGTTTGATTTGACATCAGATCTGACCGATACCAATACATTTTAAATTCATGTTATAAGTACAAATCATGTATTACATTAATTAACAGTATTACAATTTGATTTAAAAATTAATAAAGGTATCGAATCTTGAAACGTTTTATGTGCTACAAAAATTCAATGTTGTGTTTAATGCGAATACAATATGTTTACGAAAATTTTAAAGATAATATCTACATTTTTGATCCATATCAAGATTGCAAACCACAGGAAATGCTGCTTTATCAATTAACAATCTCATTTGTTATGGTTGACGTAAAACTAATAGATTTTACGACACTGATAAGCTTTTAATAGATCATGTTTGGTAAGTTATATTGTATTCGCAAGTTACGTAAATTGAAAAATAACTTCAATTTGTTTATATACACTGAAAATAGTTTATTTAATATGTACGTATATTATTTCTGAAAAAACAGGTTTTATACTTTATTTATATTTATTTATTTAATAATAATAATAATAATAATAAAAACACAACAACAACAACAATAATATTTAAAAAATCGGTCTTAATATAATTTATGTATAATTAAATGTAATAAAACAATGCCTGTTTGCAAATTCAAGGTTGTAGCTATGTTATGTGTACATGTAACATAATTTTTTCCGATCAATTTACATTCCAAAGTGTAACACAGATAAAGATATTGTTGCAAATTCAATGTAAAGAGACACTAGAAAACTGCTTTTAACATCGAAGTACCAGTATTAGAGACTGAGATCACTTGTAAAACAATTATTCAAATTATTGAATGAAATTTATCTCTTTTGGGGATATCAGTAAAGTTACCTTTCTCAGTATTTTAGGGCAAACATGACAAACACATCAAATGAGTTTTAATGAGAATCCTAACAACGCCTTATTTCATTGACATATATTGAATTGGCCCCATCTATTAACCCCACCTAAGTTCTAAGCTAGAGATATAAACAAGCAATTGGTAAATGTTTTCATACACAAATCGGGCAATAGATTCTATCAATACTTCAGATAAAAAAAATAAAAAGAGGAGTGATCTCTCGGGAAGCATTTATGCCAGCATAGTTGCACGAAAATTGCAGACTTGCTCGAGTGGTACACAATTATTAACACATAAATAAAATCAATGATCCCTAAGGAACAGCAAAACATAACACAAAAATGAAAAAAAAGCGCAATATTTACAGCTTCCGCACGGCACTAACCGACTTCTGTGTGAAGAAGAGTGATCCCTCGGGAGTTTTAATACAACACAATTACATGGACTTGCTTAATTTCAATCAAGATAAGAACACATTAATTAAGATGGTGACACAATAACCAATCGTGTGAAACACATAGAGATGGGGTAGAAAAAAAGGACACAAGATGTAATTAGATTATAATTTCATGGAAAATGTGTTTTTGACATTCTTATATATCTAAAGTATAACAATTTCAGGGTACCTTGAATCATTAAACATTGCATCCATTGCCCTGCCTATGATGTTTTGAAAACCATCAGGGCCATGAGTTATTTCATGTGAGAAAATTATCTTTGTTTAAAAGGTATTGGTCTACTTAGATGCACATTTGTGACCTGAATTATGCACGAAGCTGCATTTGGTTTCTTCTTTCTAAACCAATAAAGCGGGAGCCGCCACGTTGTTTTTATAGTCTTAATAATCTTTTTCCTTAAATCGACTTGTTGAACATATATGAGTACATGTATTTAACCACAACGATGCTGCTACGTAAAACTCCTTTTTAGAAATAGACCACACGTTATATTTACTCCACTCATGCAGCAAGTCTAATAAAATAATTCTTTGTTAACAAAATATTGCTACATTACCATTATAATATAGTATCAACATAATTACACTTTAACTCACCGCAAATGTATAAAGCCAAAAGTAAGAACACATAGCGCACTTGTATCTCCATCCTTGCGTCTGTCACTACCCAAATGTCTTTCCACTACTGTATTGAAATTTCACGTTTCAGTTTTTAACTTCCGCGTTGTTTAATATACTTTTTTTGTATTGAAATCATCAAATTACTGATATGATTGGATTGTCATTTTATTATCGGAAATTAAATGACATACAGGAATACATTTACAAATACAATATTCTTAAACCTTGTGATTAATCTCTAAATAATCGCCGATATACGTTTATATATTTTTGTCCAATAATTGTGCGATTTGAACAATAGATGTTTATGGTTATAAATCTTCCATGGATACTTATACTTGATGAAAAAGCAAAAACAATTAAAACAAAATTAACACAATATTTCTCTATATTATGAAAACAATTAATATACATTTTGTATCGAAGTAAATACTAATAACATTTGGATATAAACGACATTGGACCCACGCTGCTAATTATGAACGCTATTTTAATAAACAAACTTCGAAGATTTTACAAATTACATTAGACTTTTTTTTTACTTAAAATAACATTTAGTAGCTTTAATTGATTTGGAGTGCAGTTTATTTTTAAGATTAATTACAAAAATGGTTTAAAGGTAACATCTTTGAGACTTTACATTAAGTATCGGAAATTTAACTTGATAGTAAAAGAACTTATGAAGGTAGAAAGTTCATTTCCAGAGTCCTTTAGATCAATTAAAATTAAACGCATATACCATGTCAGAAATATCTTTTATGTTATTTTACTATGGCCAGCTTCTTCATAAGACATAATCCAAAGTTCAAACAGCGTGAGAAAAATTGTTTATGGTCAACTACCTGCACCTCTCGGTCACGGACACCCACTAATGTGTAGTATCTAAACTACCCATATTTCACTTACAGATGATAAATTCAAAATGCACATATTTTAGCTTAGTTCTTAGTCAAAAACATTAGCCAGCAATGGGTAAATCATATGGTTTCCATACAATCTATGAATACCTAAGACATGCCAAGTGTCAACACATTTATTATAGATGGATGCACAAATAGCGTGTAAATCTCAAGGATGTAGAGTAGAAAAAAAGATACAAAATGTAATTTAGTATTATAATATAAAACGTGTTTTTGGCATTTAATCTTATAAGTATAACATTAAAAGGATACATTAAATCATTACAAATTGCATCAATGGCCTTGCTGAATCCCATCAGGACTACGATTTATTTCACTTGAGAAAACTCATTAGTTTTCTTTGCTTAATCAACATCGCTATATCTACTCAGATGCATCTTAAATTATGCAGGAAATAATGCATAAAGCAGCATTTGAATTATTTTTCCTTTTTCAACCAATAATGATGGAAAAACCATATTGCCTTTATAGCATAACATAACATAAAATATCATTGAACCCGACATGTTGATCATTTACTAGTAGTACATGTATGTATTAAACTACAGCAATGCTGTTACATACGACTCCTTTTTTCGACAGACGACATATACTTTTTCCCTGCAACAAACCTTATAAAATAATTACTTGGAAACAATTATTGCTACATTCTCTTTTTTATTTGTATTAAATTTTAACTCACCGCAAATGTATAAAATCAAAAATAAGAACACATTATGGAGTTGCATCTTCATTATTGCGTCTGGCCACAGCCCAAATATTTTTTACTTCCTACTATAACTTCCAACTTCTGTAATGTCATATCCTGTGTTTTTTTTAGCTTTTATCTTCCGCGATATACAATATATCCTCTTTTGTTTTGAATTCACCAAATACGACAAAAATGACAAAATTGTACATACATTTATGAGGTGTTTTTAAAATCTCTTTTTGATATGAGTAGATTGTCGTTTACAGGCTCTAAAGGAATACAATAACGAATGAAATATACTAAAACGTTGATTAATTTCTGAATAATCGCCTATGTACGAAAGTAAGGTTTCAATAATTGTGCAACTTAAACTATATATGTTTATGGTTATAATTCTTCGATGGATGTACAGAAAAGTATTTTAATGCACCTGTTTCAGAATTAAGTCTGTGAATACAACAACATTCTAGATTAAAAAGGAAAAAAAAGTCAAAACAGTAACAACACAGTATCCCCTAAATCAATTAAAACAATTAAAGTAGTAAATACTGAGTCGGATATAAACGACATTCGACCCATACGGTAATTATGAATGGTATCTAAAAAATATCGGAAATTGTAAAAACTACCTTTTACATTTTTTTTTCATTTTATAAAATTGGGTAACCTTAATTGATGTGTAGTGCAATCTATTTTCGTCTTATTATATTTGGATTAATTACATTATTGTTTTAATGATGATATCTATAAATATTCTGCTTTCATAGCAAGTCTACACTTTTTATAGAACAAAATTGAAAATTTTGTTTGTTTGTTTGTTTGATTGAGTTTTATGTCACACCGACACAGTATAGGTCATATGGCGACGTTCCAACTTAACTGGTAGAGGTAGAGACCTCAGGTTCTTTCAGGCACGAACGGGCACCTGAGTAGAGCCACCGACGTTAAAATTGAAAATAAACAGCATTATGAAAGGTATAGTAGTTATGCGTCAATCCAAGTGTGTCACAGTGACAAGTGGATACCTATATTTAAGGGAAAAAACAAACAAGAATTTTTTTCTGTGGTACTATTGAATCAGAATGTCATGCACTTCTTAAATAGTATTTGTATGATAATGACATTGGAACAAATTTATTGATAAAGGAAGTGGATGAAGCATACAGTTTCTAAATTTGATTTTAAGTGTTTACTTTAGTTGATTAAATGTATCGCCGAAACATGATATTTTAAAGCAAGTACATACAGATGGGTAATATGTCTATTTAAGTAATTCTACGCATTATTATAAAGTATCGGCTGGGATTGTTGCTTATTAATAAATATTTCTTCAACAACATTAGAATCATTTAGTTTATTTACAATTTTAACTTTGTACATATCACATGTTTCAGAATGTCATTATTATAGTAATCCGTGCTTGGGAAAATTTCTATTATTTTTCATCGTTGCAATATTTTTATTGAAAGGTTATCCATAAACTTTAAAAAAAAGACAATACCTGCAATAGCGGAACAAGAATACGAGTATGTACCAGTACCTATGCTGCAACAGGAACATATATACTAGACAAACATGGAATCCTTAAAGAACGCCTCAAACCGATTTGTTAAGATCATTGTTTTTTACATTGAGTCGTTAAACAACCATTATCCCAATATTTGTTATAAAAGCTTATGCAATATCCAGCATGTTTGTGCACATATTTTTACTAATTTTTTTACATCTGTTGACTTCGCCGGACTCGTTTTTGCGTATAGAAACACGACTGATTCACTTGTTCCCCACAGTTTACAATTACAGTCATCATCTCTTTTCTTATCACAGAACAATTTTGGTTGCACGTGTTGTTATACATATTGATATGATGCATACCGTTTATAAATAGCGTTTACCAAATTTATATGATTTTATTTTACAATTTTCTTTCAGTTGTCCTTCTAAAATCTAGATTTACACGATGCAAATTCTCCGAATGAAATGCTACAAAAATATTACAATTTATGGCAGATCTATGGTGGCTAATTTGTGTCATTCGTGTTTTCGCCCCGCTACCCCGCTAAGCGAAAAGTGGAGAATTAAAACGGCGTGGTCGCGGGACGAAAACACGCTAATTATCGGGGGCGCGAGGCGAAATTTAATAAATAATACTTCGCCCTGCGTGGGTGCGGGACGAGATTTAAGAAATTAAACGGCGACTTTTCGCTTGGCGGGGTCGCGGGACGAAAACACGCTAATTAGCGGGGGCGTGCGGCGATGTTACATTTATTCAACTTCGCCCCTCGCCCTCGCTTATTAGCGTGTTTTCGTCCCGCGACTCCGCTATTTTATTCCTTCAATCTAACTCCATGCCCCCGCGGGACGAAGTTTTATTTAATAAACTTCACCCCGCGCTCTCGCTTATTAACCCGTTTTCGCTCCGCGCCCTCGACATTTTGACTTGTTAATATTCGACTTTTCGCTGAGCGGGGTCGCGGGGCGAAAACACGAACGGCACAAATCAGCCACCATACATATCACCTTTTTAGGAAAGATTCATCTATTTTACATACATCATTCGCACCTGTTTATTGGCCACATTTTTAAACCGTCAGTTCAGTTCACATGAATTCACCCCCGTTACCATCATGACATTACCCAGTTGTTTGACGACATTTCTTTCAATTCAATGTATACACACCGTTAGGACAATGTCACATTTTCCATCACTTTTATAACATGACGTAGGGACACTCACACCCCAAAAGTCCTTGTAACAAGAACAACATACCGTCGGCTTAAACCAAACCTGCGACATTTTCAGTTTTGCAGCTATAGTGTTCTTTAGGAATTCCGTTTTTTCGAATATAATTATTTTGGACATGGATTTAAAAATTATATCGATCTATTATCAATATTGTAAATAAAGAGGATTTGAAAGTTCTATTAAAATGAAAAAAGGGGTTAAACATTGCACAATTATTTTCCTTTTATATTTTGCTTGTTAAACACATGTGTTTTATAAAGTTTAAAATTTAAAAAAATAAATTGCTTCTTTTATTCTGTTAAATTTGATAAAAATGGCCTAGTCCTGGTTCTGTACGGGGTCCCGCTGGTCTCCCTGTCGGTGGTCCTATGTGGCTGGATCGTATGGGGATGCTTCATTGAACGCAGCTTTATTTTTAGATCTTCTGGTTCATATTGTAGGTTTAGATTTTGATATGAAATCCAATATTCATTTAAATATCAACTTTCAAGGGAGATTACTCTGTCTGACTTAATAAGGGTAGGTAAGAGTGGTTTCCCTTAGCATTTTCCAAGGGAGATTACTATGTCTGATTTAATATGGGTAGGTAAGAGTGGTTTTCCTTTGCAACTTTCAAGGGAGGTTACTCTGTCTGACTTAATAAGGGAAGGTAAGAGTGGTTTCCCTTTGCA